CACGCTGAAATAACTTCCAATTCATTCTCTAAAGCTACAAGGCATGAAACACGAAACGTCTGGAAACCGACGCCTATTGATTCAATCACAATGGGATGGATTTCCTTTACAAACTTTCGATGGACGACAATTTTCTCGGTAAATGCGGTTAAATGTGTCTGCGATTTCTTGTAAGTCCGCCACTTTCGCATTTTCCTCCAAATTATGAGTGGGTGGGAATTTTATCAAGCGACATTTTCGTCTCAATATTCAAAAAAAGAATCGTGTTGTGAAGCCCACAGACTCAAATTTCCGAACACATATTTGCCATCTTCAAGCCCTCAGTCACCTTAAAATGCCTCTAAACATTACGATTGGTACGTCAGAACTCATCTCTAGAATTGCTTAATTAAGTGCCATTCCATGAAGATGTATAGGGGGAAGTGAAGTTATTGTTCCACCTCGCACTGGATAGAGGTGAGTGGTCAGCTTTACGCCCCTGTCCCTTAACCCCGGGGAACAGATCCCGGTACCTTCTGCACAGGAAGCTGGATGGACTCCAGAGCCCGTCTGGACGCTATGAAAAAGAAAAAAAATCTTGACCTCGCAGGGAATCGAACCGCGATTCGCGGCCCTCCAGCCCGTAGCCTGGTTCCTATACAGCGTGAGTTGCATCTGGTATGTATGTATGTTAATTTGCCCCTCTGATCCATCGACGTGCCAGTTTCATACTTCACGGAGCGAGCCCTTCTTGAGAAGCCGCCGGTTGTGCAGCTACTCAAGAACCTCCCAGCATTTTACGGAACCTGAAGGTTCATTACTGTGCTCACAAGAGCCCTCCACTGGTCCCTATCCTGAGCCAAATTTATCCAATCCATACCAACCCATTCTATCTCCTAAGGTCCATTTTAATATTGTCCACCCACTAACGTCTTGGTCTTTCTGTTGGTCTACTTCCACCTGGCCTTCCCAACAATATTCTATACGCATTCCTCTTCGCCTCCATTCGTGCTACATGCCATGCCCATCTCATCCTCCTTGACTTGATCTTTATAATTATACTCGGAGAAGAGAACAAGTTATGGAGCTCTTCATCAATCGAAAAAATCAGTTCAAGTTCGAGACCCTTCGTGACATTTCGTAACAAGCTTATTTTTTGCGGTGATGAGTTTTTAGTCCCACGTCCAACCCCCAAGCTGGAGGACAACCACCTGTTTTTTGTCAGCTGCTGCTTATTCGATAAATTCGCAGCTAACCCCCATATCTGGAGGGCGTCTCCTCCATCCGCAAACTGAGGACGCGCCAGCCGCGGTGACAAGGGCCTCGTATACATTGGTTACAGAGGGCATTTCCTCGGGGGGTGGGGTATTTCAAGCTGCCGGGGCATGAAGCTCACCACTCCCCCTCCATCTAGTGCCTAAGTGATGAATAGTGGAGTTATACCTCCACTTCCAATGTCTTCATGACGTAGTGCTCAATTAATTAAGCACAAGGACACAGTGTAGTAAATGTTAGAGTACAAGTCAGGTGACTAGGAGCACAGTGGTTGTTCTTGGCTGTTAAAACTGACCTCAGTATTAATCATGGAATATTCTTGCGTTTGGTGCGGGAAGCTCTTTGCCAACACGCATGTTCATTATCTTGCTTGTATAAGGGTTGAGGGTGGCTGGATTTCAGATGCAACATGTATGTGTCGATGTGTACAGGGAAACAGACTGTACCGCATTCTTCTCACGGTACTCTGTGAGGTCATAACTTCAGTACATTAAATTCAAAGTCAAGGTGCAAATGACGGTCAGTCAGTCAGTCTGTCTGTCTTGGTGTCGAGCCCCAGATGATTCTTTTTATACGAAAGTTACTGTTCTGTCCATGTGGGGCGCCCTCTCTGACGACAGGTCGGGTCTGTCGTTTGTCAGTCGTCGGTAATATTAAGTCTCTTGTCAGTATGTATACTTATTTACAAGGTAATACGTAATATCTCCTTCAATGTACAGTACATACAAGGTCTCTGTCAGTCCAGGCTCAGTACAGCAGATACACACATTTATATGCTGACGTTGGTGGAACTGCTTGTGCAATACGGCAAGACAAACCGCCCGGCTGCGTACAGATAACGCTACTTACGAGACCCGATACGGGCTGACAACCACAGGTCACCCGAAGCGTGGGAAGGTAGGGCGCACCAAGCTGATATCGCAGAACTGTTCACTCGAGGCAACTCATGACAGACAAGTCTAGCCGTGACAGGGTTCACAGCAACAGCGGATTATGTCCTTACATATGTTCCGTAAGACAGAAAATTTCAGTACGATTTTCTGAGGTTCTGGGATATATTGCCGTGTAGTTTGATAGAAAGTTATCAACGTTTCGGAAAAAAACAGTACCTCCAATTTCAGTGTCTTTTACTCTGAAAATGGAAACGGTAGTTTCCTCCGAAACATTAAGCAGGAACAACACTACACGACAGTAGTTGCCTGACTGAACAAAACCAGGAAAGGTGAGGAGCTGTTTAACCCACCTGATGTTGGAGAAGTTAGACGCGACCACGAGGCCAGACAAATGTACAAAGTGGAACTGCAGTGTCTGAAGAGAACTGCAATTTACATGACTCCCTCATCACTAACGAAGCTGAGCCCTTCTTGAGAAGCCGCCAGTTGCTCTGCAACTCGAGAACTTTCCAGCATTTTATGGAACCGGAAACTTCATGACCGTGTTCACAAGAGCCCTGCACTGGTCCCTATCCTGAGCCACATTAATCCAACCCATAACATCCCATCCTATCTCTCTAAAATCCATTTTAATATTGTCCACCCACCTACGCCTTGGTCTTTCCAGTGGTCTCTTTCCTTCTGAATATCCCACTAATATCCTATACGCATTCCTCTTCGCCCCGATTCGTGCTACAGGGCCTGCCCACCTCATTCTCCTTGACTTGATCATTCTAATTATACTTGGAGAAGAGTACAAGTTATGAAGCTCCTCATTATGCAGTTTTCTCCAACCTCCTGTCACTTCATCTCTCTTCGGTCCAAATATTCTCCTCAACACCCTGTTAGAACCTTCAAGTAGGTGGTATATATAGTAATCACTGCGCTTTGAAGGGTTAAAATGTTAATATACAGCACGTGAAGTCTATATTACAGGAATAACAGTTCGAGGGGGATGTCGAAGCGCAGGTCCTGGGGGCCACACTCCGGTACCCCGAAATACAAACTGTAACGGAACTAATTCATTTCATTTAATCACTAAATCAGATCTGATCACTAATGAGGCCAGACTTTGTCATCATCAGAAAAATAGGACATTTTTATGCTGTTGAAATACGAACGGAAATATTTGTGGTCACACTTCCCACTTTCATGATGTCCAAAATGTAGGAAGGCTTTTGAAACCAAAAATTACAGGCACGGGCGTACCACTGACTTACAGCCCTTCTATGGGAAATAAAACTGCTCGTCTCCCAGGAGCACAAGAAATGGACCAAAAATGCAGAAAATTCGTACAGTTGCGATTACACTCTAATGGACTTAGGAAATAATTTTGGACATTTTTTAATTTTTCACTCTGAGCATTCTTTGGATGTAATGCTTCATTATTACGTTACTACTACAATAATATTCATATGGGCAAAACCAATGAAGTTTAGTTTAAACATTCTTTTAAACTGTGCTTGTTGTGATGACATATTTATACAAATAGGTAACAATGAAAGAAATGTATTCTCCATACATACTTCTTGATCTGACACCACTAATATCTTTATAATGTGATTTTTTTTACTATATAACTATAATTTGAACAATCACTCTAAGTAAGATCTAAAAGTTTGTGATGATGGTAAATTGTTACAATTAATATGTTGATGGATAATGGCCAGCAACATATTAATTGTAAATCACTCTAAGTGTTGGCATTACTTCCTCGCATCCCATGTCACTATAGAAACTCAATCATTGTTATAAGAAATTACCTAGTACTAACTGTGTATATCGGTGAATTAATGTTGTACAATTATTGTATATTACGGTGAAATTCTAATTTCTGGATTAACTAGGGTATAAAATTGCTCCCTGGGACCATGGAAATTATTTTTAACCATGTAACTCAAAACCTAACCTTAGTTTCACATTATTGAACAGAAACAAAGCATTGTTGTAGAGGCTTGAATGCGAGCTACTGTCTGCTTACTACTTCTCCATAACTACATCACCGTGACTAATTTCTAAATTACAGTGCCTGTTCTGTATGGGTGTGAAACTTGGTCTCTGACATTAAGGGAGGAACATAGACTGAGGGTGTTTGAGAACAGGGTATTGAGAATATTTGGCCCGAAGAGGGATGAAGTGACAGGAGGTTGGAGAAAACTACATAATGAGGAGCTTCATAATTTGTACTCTTCTCCAAGTATAATTAGAATGATCAAGTCAAGGAGGATGAGGTGGGCAGGACATGTAGCACAAATGGAGATAAGAGATATGCATATAGGATACTGGTGGGAAAGCCAAATGGAAAGAGACCACTGGGAAGACCAAGGCGTAGGTGGGTGGTTATTACAATATATCTTAGAGTGACAGAATGGAGTGATATGGATTCGATTGATCTGGCTCAGGATACAGACCAGTGTAGGGCTCTTGTGAACACGGTAATAATCCTTTGGGTTGCATAAAATGCTGGGAAGTTCTTGGGTAGCTGCACACTTGAAGGCTTCTCAAAAAGGGCCCAGCTTCACGAAGTTATACTATCTTTAATACACTCGGGGTCATAATGTATCGTATCCTCACTAAGATGTCAATTAAATGGCAAAATCAGGCTGCAAATTCTTATCGAGGCAAATATTTTTCGAACAGAAGTTGTACAGACAAATGAAATATATATTTTATGTCGAATACATCCAGTATAGGTATGCTTACATCTCGTAACGTGTTCCTCTACTAACAGTTCTCTGTACTATCATGAAGTACACCTAACAGATTCTATTTAAGTACGACAAAATCTAGTCAGAGAGAGATTATTTTTATTACCTTTTGCTGTTTCAGTCTTCAGTCAGTTCGCTTCCTCAGTTGCGCGAATGGTGTCCTCCATATCCGGTTCATATGCCACTTGCACATTCAAGACAATTTATAAAGTTACAGGAATCATTTTACGTAAATATATCTACAACGACAAAACCGACATACAAGCCACACGATAATGTTTTCAAAACGCTAACACATCGGTTAAAGTGGTTATTGGGCAAGATAATCACACATCACACAAACTCACTCACACATCACCTCTCCAAATGACTCGAGCATGGTCGCCCGCGGTTTCTAACATCTGCCTTACGAACTAGACACACAAAGAGATGGCTCTGATGTCGCAATGTCTACAACGCTGTTACTAAGACTTACATAAACATTATAAAAAGGTATTATATAGGGATTTGTAGATCTCCCAGCGGTGCTTGTGGAATGAAATTCCATGTAGTCGTAAAAATTAACCTACGTCTCGGATGAAAAAATCGCCCCTGTCTTCAAGATCGAAAAATAAGCTTTTCTTGCAACTTGGTTCACGCTGATTTCTTGCATGGTCTATTACTCGATTCTGAAGATGGAAGCAACATGTCCCTTCGAAACGTCTGTTGACTTTCAACGGACTACACGGCGTTATATGAAAAAAAATAGAAATCTCTGTTAGTTAATTAATTAACAATTACAACAGGTATTGTCCACGGAATTGCTGCATTCGAACGTTCTGCCATCTGCTGAGAATTTCACGAATCAATGGATTTTGATCTTTCTGGTCAAGTCTTTCTATTACCCCTGATACTACACTAGCGCTATCTAGACAGAAGAAGTTGGCATAACGCGCAGAATTTCCTGCAAGCGCGGGAATATCGTGTTTTAGTCGTCCTAATTTCGCTGTAAGTTGCGTAAACAACAAAACAATGTTATAATATTAATTATTGCTTACCTAGCGTGTTTATAACATTAGTGAAATAATACAGAAGTCTTATTTGCTTGTGTTATTTACGATGTGTTATTATCTGTTTATTGAAAGCATTAAAGGTGGTGTGTTCAGAATGATAATGACATCGTGTGCAACAAACGCTGTGTTGTGTGCCGCCATGACTGTGGACCCCGCGAATGTGATCCTCGACAAGCAGACAGGTAATTGAAGTTGAACTTATTCATTAAATGAAGTTTCGCTTTGTAGCAATTTGTAGTAATTTTACAATTATACAATTTCACGTCTTTCAGGCAACCCAGCAAATTGGCTCTAGCACTTGGATTCTCGGAAACACTGATTTTATTATCATTGGAAGGTATACAATCTGAGTGACTGATAGCCTTGTTAATTTGTCATACATGAAATAGGATTTTAAATGTAGGGGAAACAATGTGTGTATGGTTGTCTCGTCACCAAAATACAGGACAAAATAATGTAAAAGAAATCCATAAAATTTGGCAGAGTCAAAATATATTGGAAAAAGAGTTACAAATCAAAATTTTGTTCACAAATAAATTAAGAGCTAGTCAGATTCGAGGGATGTTTGCTGCGTTATAGTTCAGAATATTGTGTCTCCTCAACTTCTTTCAAAATAAAATAAAATAATGTAAATTTTAGTCTATGAAATGCCTTTCATTTTACATGGCTGTGAAATTTGGCTTCCCATCCTGTAGGAAGGCCGCATTGAGAAGACTGTGTGGACCCAATGGGGAGGAAGTAACGGTGAGGAGGTTAGTTAAATCTGCATAATGGGGAAATTCGCAGCACGTGCCTCCCATAAATTATTATTAGATGAATCGAATGAAGAGAACTGAGAATATCAAATTATGTAACTTGCCTGATTGATATATACAAAATGTTAATTGGAAAATCTGAACAGAATAGAACATTTACGTGACCTAGACATAGATGGGAGAATAATGGGCATATTAGAATTTAATCTAAGGTGTTGGGGTGAGGACTACAATCACTTAGTGAAGACGAGGCATAAAGGTGAGCTCTTGTGTTCTGCACAGAAAGATTTTCAGATTCCGGGAGTGACTGAAAATACCTTGACCAGCTGAGCAACTCTCAGAGCCTCAAGAAGAACCCTGCTCCATGTAGCTAGGTGACTGAAATAATCGCATGACTGTTTACAACGACAATATTTTTGAAAATGCATTCGGGACCTTATGCCACTTTCGCATGTTCCGTCTGTTTTTAATCAGCTGAGCAACTATCAGTAACCAAGAGGAAGACCGGCGAACATTCAAGCAGGAAGCAAACAGCAAGCAGGGTAGGAAATCTACCATTTTTATTATTCTGTTTGTATACTTGCTGTGGTTAGTCTTCGACCCTGAAAATGGAAGCAATTTGTTCCATCGAAAAGTTCCTAAAATTCTGCGAAACTGTACGGCGTCACAGAGCGGGTTGGCAGATGGTAAAGTTCTAGACTTGTCGACGGGTGGTGCGTGTTTCGAATCTCAGTCGGAACCCGGCTGTCCTGACAGAGTTCTCATAGTTTTCCTCAGTCTCTCGGGGTTATGGCGAGACAGTACCTCAGTCCAAGGCGGCTTACTTCCAAATAAAATCCAAATCATCATTCCCTTATCATTCAGCCACGTGAGACTATGTAGTCTAGCTACTGCAATCGTCGTTAAATGACACAAAAATAAACATGGCGTCATTTCGCAGAATATAGTTCAACTAACTAACAAGCTACATGGAGATTAGCCCTTCTCGAGAAGCTGCCAGTTGTCCAGTTACTCAAGAACTTCACAGCATTTTACAGCCCGAATTTTCATTACCTTGTTCACAAGAGCTCTCCACTGGCCATTATCCCAAGCCAGATCATTCCAATCCACACCACCTCATCATATCTCTCTAAGATATATTTTAATATCATCCACCCACCACCGTCTTGGTCTTCCTAGTGGTCTCTTTCCTTCTGGTTTTCCCACATCCGACAAAATAGCATTCTTCATCTAACTAACCTCATGGAGCTGAGCCCTTCTCGAGAAGCTGCCAGTTGGTCAGTTACTCAAAAATTTCCCAATAGTTTATGGAACCAAAAGGTTCATTACCGTGTTAACAAGAGCTCTCCACTGGTCCCTATCCTGAGCCACATCATCCCAGTCCACACTACACCATCCTCTCTCTAAAATCCATTTTAATATTATCCACCCACCTCCGTCTTGGTCTTCCTAGTGTTTTCCTTCCTTCTGGTTTTCCCACCGATATCATATATGTACATTCCTATTCTCCCCATTCGTGCTACATGCTCTTCCCATGTCATCTTCCTTGACTTGATCATTCTAATTATGCTTGGAGAAGAGTACAAGTTATGAAGCTCCTCATTATGCAGTTTTATTATTCTTCAGCGCAGGCACAAATTAACTTTAACTTCTTAGACAACTGGTTAATCGGTGAGAGGTTTACTTACGTTTTCAGTAAACTGATTAGTTAGTCATGTCCTTCAGATAAGCACGTGTTTTCATCACGCATAGCCACTACGCCTGGTCCCTTAGCCCCTTTTCTCACGCTCCACCAGGCAAGCAAATAGCTCGGCTCTTTCCTGTGCCGAACTGAATCGGGTTACACGTGCGTTTTGAACTGGATCAGCTTCTCCACGGCTCTGTTGCCATGGGAACATCTAGTTTTCAGTGGCGGCTCGTTCTATCACGTCTTGTAATGTAATTATCACAAAGCTTTCGACAGTCCGGTATATACAGCCATGTAACCCTTTGAAATTCAGCAGATGTTTTTGTAAAAAAAAACATGTCGCCTCCATCTTCAGGGTTGAACAAAAAGCGAAGCTAGAATCCAGCATGAAGCAGGCAGCAAGCAAAGTACATGTTGGTTTCTTATTGGCTTAGTCTTTAGTCATTAAGACGTGTAGGCTTGAAGGTAGATGCCAACATTTAGGAGTAACACGAAACTTCCATCATCAGGGTTGATATGCGTAAGTTGAGACAGGTTATATAAGCGGGTCTCACACTTTATGTTCCTCATTGCTATTGGACCACAGAGGGTTTTCCGTCACCTCAATTACTAGCTTTTCCAAGTGCTCTTTTCTAGGCGGGCATGCGGTAGCGTAGTTGGTTGAGGCACCATTCTACAAGCCGGAAGGTGACGGGTTCAAGTCCCAATGAGATTATTGGATCTTTTTTCAGTTGACCTATCTCTTCTAGCCGCACTATGGCCCTGGGGTCGACTCAGCCTCTTAACAGAAATAAGTACCAGGAATATTCTTAGAATGTTCTTGTGAGTAAAGGGTGGCCGGAGCCTAGGGCTGACAACCTTGCCGCCATCTATGAGCCGATTGTCTAGAAAATGTGGGAATCTCAACATCTCACAACCCTATGGGCCTCCCCGGGCTGTTACAGGGATGCCTTTACTTCCTTTGACTTTTAATAATATTTTGCGAGAGGAACAGTTTGTGGACCTCCTCATTATGCAGCTTTCTTCAATAACGTGTTACTATTTTCCTCTCAGTTTTAAATGACCCCCTCAATGCCCTGTTCTCAAACAACAGATGTGTCCGCACTGCTTTATTATCAGCTGACAGTCATGGGTTTCGGGAGCATGTTGGCCTTCTCCTCTATCCTGAGGAAGGAGGCAGAAAGTTCTTCCGAAATGTCACTTTTCTACCAAAATATAAGTTCATTCCAGCACACTGTACTTTCATGGATTCCGTTTTTCATACTTCTTCAAACCACTCTGGTAGCTATATGTACCACCGATTTTAACGTTAACAATTCTGAGTTTTGTCCATATTTGTGTGTCACGTCAGAGTAAACTGATATTTCTTCCATAATCATCATTAAATAGAAAGTCTTTGTTAAGAAGACATATTTCTTTTCTGTGAGGCGGAATTACAATTTTTAATTATCGTCACGATTTAGTGGTTACTATAGACGGGGTGTGGATTGATGAATGGATTTATTGACCACTTATACACACCATTCGGAACTACAAGTAGTTACCGCGCTATCGCTTATCCCCGCACTTTTCAAGTCACCACAGCACTAGCTAAGATTTTTTTTCAGCCTGCTGCGTCTTCATCAGCAGTTCCTCGGCAACGGCTTCTAACAGTGGAGACTGTTCAGCTTCACACGGTCAGGTTCTGCCTTCTTAGCCTCCGGTGCAGAACTGAACACTTAACTGACAACTAATTGGGTTGCCCCAGTTGTTTTCGTTATAACCACTTTGCACGGACCAAGTAGGAAACACCGTTTCCAACAGTAACTCTATTATTATGTGTGTATTCATTGCAGCGGGATCGTATTAA